GACCACTTCTCACCACGACCATGTGAGGCAGGGAGTGTGATTATGCTCTTGTTCTCAACAGGGAAACTGAGTCACTGGGGCTTCAAAACGTGTCCCAGATCACAATTAGTTGGGGTGTATATGTGAGTATGTATGTACTTTTTCTTACTTGTACTTTATGCACTTCTGAATCTTGTCTCTTTTTTTTTTTTAATGAGCCCTAACTGATACATAACACTATATTAGCTTCAGGTCTACGTGATTTGATATCTGTATGTGTTGCTCCATGATCAGCACCATAAATCTAGTTACAGTATATCACTATACATTTTTTTTCTTGTCTTGAGAGCTTTGAAGATCTAATTCCTTAGCAACTTTCAATATACAACACAGTGTTATTAACTGAAGTTCCCAATGCTGTATATTACATTTCCAGGACTTATTTATTTTATAACTGGAAGTTTATACCTCTTGACCATCTCCCCCACCCAGTTCTCCCGCCTGCCATCCCTCACCTTTGGCAACCACCAACCACTTCTCTGCATCTATGATTTTTTTAAATTAGATTTCACCTGTAAGTGAGGTGTCTTTGACTTATTTCACTTAGAATAATGCCCTCAAGGTCCATCTATGTTGCAGCAGATGGCGAGACTTCCTTCTTTTTTATGGCTGAACAGTGTGAGTGTGTGTACGTATACCATGATTTCTTTTATCCATTCATCCGTGGATGGACACTTAAGGGTGCTTTCATTTCTTGGCTTTTATAAATAACACTGCAGTGAACATGGAAGTGCAGGTGTCTTTCTGAGTTAGTGTGTTCATTTGTTTCCTTCAGAGAAATGCCCAGAAGTGGTATTTCTGGATCATATGGTAGTTCTATTTTAAATTTTTTCAGGAATCTCCTCATTGTTTTCCATGGTGGCTGCACCACTTTACCTTCCTACTCATAGTACACAAGGGTTCCCTTTTCCCTACATCCTTGCCAATACTTGTTATTTCATCTTTTTGATAATTGTCATTCTGACAGGTGTGAGGTGAAATCTCATGTGATTTTGATCTGCATTTCCCTGAAGATGAGTGATGCTGTGAACTGTTTCATGTACTTGTTGGCCATCTATATGTCTTCTTTGGGAAAAGGTTGATTCAGACATTTTTTAGTTGGACTGTTTTATTTGTTTGTTTGTTTATTTATTGCTACTGAGTTGTATGAGTTCTTCATGTATTTTTGGATATTAACCCCTTATCAGATATGAGATTTGCAAATATTGTCTCCCATTCGGTAAGTTGTCTTTTCATGTTGTTGGTGATTTCCTTTACTGTGCAGAAGCTTTTTAGTTTGACGTAATACCACTTGTTATTTTTGCTGTTGCTCTTTTAAGGATTATTTTGTGGTTCCATACAAATTTTAGGGTCATTTGTTCTGTTTCTGTGAAGGATGATACTGGAATATTGATACGGATTGTATTAAATCTGTAGATTGCTCTGGGTTTATATAATTTTATATAACTCTTCCACTCCATGAACATGGAGTATCTTTGGATTAATTTGTGTCTCCTTCAGTTTCTTTCATTAATGTCTTGTAACTTTTAGTGTCTTGGTCTTTCACCTCCTTGGTGAAATTTCTTCTTAGACATTTTATTATTTTTGATGCAATTGTATATGGGATTGTTTTCTTAATTTCTCTCTCTGATAGCTCATTATTTTTTTTTAATTTTTATTTATTTCTAGGAGAGAGAGAGATAGACAGCGTGAACAGGGGAGGGTCAGAGAGAGAGGGAGACACAGATTCCGAAACAGGCTCCGAAACAGGCTCCAGGCTCTGAGCTGGCAGTCAGCACAGACCCCGACGCGGGGCTCGAACCCACGAACCGCGAGATAGTGACCTAAGCGAAAGACGCCCAACCGACTAAGCCACCCAGGAGCCCCTCTGATAGCTCATTATTAACATGTAGAAATTCAATAGATTCTTGTGTACTGATTTTGTATTCTGCACCCTTACTGAATTCTCTTATTCTAAGAGTCTTTTGATGGAGTCTTTGGGGTTTCTATATATAATATGCCATCTGAAAATAGTGACAATTTTACTTCTTCCTTTCCAATTTGGATGTCTTTGATTTCTTCTTCTTGCTTAAGTGTTCTGGTTAGGACTTCTGACTCTGTGTCGCATAAAAGTGGCAAACATGGGCATCCTCGAACTTGGTCCTGATCTTAGAGGAAAAGCATTCAGCTTTCTCCTGTTGAGTATAATGTTAGCTGTGGACTTCTGATAGATGGCATTTACTATGTTGAGGTACATCCCCTCTATACCCACTTTGTTGAGAGTTTTTATCATCAGTGGATGTTGAATTTTGTCAAATGATTTTTCTGTATCTATTTTGATCGTTCACTTTGTTAATATGATGTGTCCTCTTAGTTGATTTGCAGGTGTTGAACCATCCTTGCACCCCAGGACCAAATCCCATTTGATCATGGTGTACGATCCCTTTAATGTATTGTTGAATTCAGTCTGTTACTATTTTGTTAAGGATTTTTAGATCTATGCTCATCAGAGATATTTGCCTGGAATTTTCCTTTTCTTGCAGTGTCCTTGTCTGGTTTTGGTACCAAGGTTATGCTGGCGTCACACATGTGTTTGGAAGTGTTCCCTCCTCTTCTAATTCTCCGAAGAGTTTGATAAGGACTGGTATTAATTCTTATTTAAATGTTTGGTGGAATTCACCAGTGATGCCATCTGGTCCCCGACTTCCGTTTATTGTGAGGTTTTTGATGACTGATTCTATCTCCTTACCAGTGATCAGTCTGTTCAGATTTTCTATTTCTCCATTACTCAGCCTTCATGGGTTGTATGTTCATAGCAAAGTATCTGTTTCTTATAAGTTGCTCAATTTGTTGGCATATAATTGTGGTTTTTTAAAGTGTGCTACAATTGTTTTCAAATTTTTATTTAAATTCTATTTATTGACACACTATAATTGTTCATGGTAGTCTGTTATTATCTTTGTATTTCTGTGGTATTGAATCCTGTCTTTTTTTTTCATTTAACATTCTCCATAATATTTCAGATTATTAATCATTATTTCAATAGCAGCATAGTACTCCAAAGTTTATTTACCATCTTTCCTAATTCTTGGACAATTAAGTCTCCCCCACTTCTTCCCCCTGAATTATAAGCAGGACTGCTTGTAATAGGATCAGTGATTGGAAGTGAAGTCACTATGTCAATGGATATGAGCTGTCAAACTGCTTTCCAGGACCATACCGGTTCATGCTTCTCACAGCACATGACAATGCCTCTCACCATAGATTACTGACATTATTGTAGTCAGTTTATTTTCCTTGAGATACTTGAGATACAATTCATATGACATAAAACTGATCATTTTAACCATTTTCAGAGGTTTTTAGTATATTTACAATGTCATGCAACTGTCACCTTTCAGTAAAATCCCAGAACATTTTCTTCATCCCCAGAAGAACCCTGCTGCCCATCAGCAGTCAGTCCTGGGCACTCTCATCCCCAGCTCCAACCACTGCTCTGCTTTTGGTTTCTATGGATGTGCCTATTCTGGACATGGTTCCAGAATGGAACCATCCAATATCTGTTTCTTTTTTAATGTCTACTGATTTTAATGGATGGCATCTAGCTCTGAGTTAAGCAAATGCATTGAACTTGATTATCATTTATATTTATTATTTGGTGAATTGTTTGTTCCAGTCCTTTTCTCATTACTTGCAGGTCTTAAGTGCTTTTATTGACGTGTATGAACTCTTTATATATTAAGGCTAAAAAGTCCTCGACTATCATTTTTAAAGTAATTTTTCTTCTGTGCCAAAATATTTTGCTGCAGGTGTTAAAGTGGATGATAAAGAGGTGCTATTAATATGGAAAGAAGGCACAGAGGGCAATGGAGAGCCTCAGGAGGCTTTGGGCAGACAGTGAAGGGGCTCTGCCTACTGGCACAAAATGAGGGCTGAATTTCTGTGTCTGTGAGCCTTCCGGGGGGTTCCTTCAGTGCCAGCTGGTGCACTCACAGAATTTGGCCACCTCCCCAACCCCTGCTCAGGTGGCTGCTAGTCAGGGCCCTGGGGCCAGCCCTGATTTGAGAAGCAGGAATGCCCCGTAGCCATGACCTGGGCATCAAGGGATGCCTTTCAGATTTGTGCCAGCCTTCCCCTCCTCAGAGAAGGCTACCTGGGGCTTTCTCTTCTCTCCTGTCCACCCAGTGCTTCTGGTGCTTTCCTTTCTCTTCAGCCTGTGCCGTCCAGGCCCCAAGGGAAATTAGTACAGAGGCTTTGGAAGGGAGTGTGGCTCAGCAATCTGGAGTTTGCACCCATGCGTAGAAGATGGGCCCAGAGGCCCAGTTTTCAGAAACTAAACAGCCAAGCGGCGGTCTTTCCCATATAAGCAACATAGGAAATTAATAGGCCTGAGGAAAAGTGGGGCTAATCGGTAGAAAATACAAATGGCAACGGAGTAGCAAACGGTCTCATGGTGAATACACACATGTTCTGGAGAGTAGCAAATATCAACAACAATTTGACACTTGGTTGAATGTACTTACTATTTTGTTTAAATAACAACATCACCCCCTGCCCCCATTGCCTATTAAGGGTATGGGGATTAAGAGTTTGGGGGATTATAACATAATTGTGGCATTTTGGAAACTGAAAAGCCAAACCAACTTTATCACTCTGCCAGGTGCAAATGTATTATGGGGACTAATTGTTTCTCTCAGTGAAATCAACGACTATTAAATTTGAGTTCTTAACAGGGGAGGGGAGAGATTGTGCCCTGGACCCCTTGAAATTGTAGGCAGAAATCTTGTGTGGGCGAGTGTGTGCGTGCGTACACAAGCATGCACCTTCCTGTAGAGAGAGTCTATCTCTTTGTCAAGTTCTCAAAGGTGTCCCTGACCCCAGAAAGGTCCAGAACCGGGGCTGTAGGTCATCAGCTGGGGCAGTGCCCCCCGAGCAGGGCCTGCTAATTTTCCCTCGGGATTCATGTCACCTTGTGCTTGCAGTGCTGGTGAAGGGCCAGGTCACCACCAAGTACTACCGGCTGCTGTCCAAGCTGGGCGGCTGGGTGTGGGTGCAGAGTTACGCCACCGTCGTGCACAACAGCCGCTCGTCCCGCCCGCACTGCATCGTGAGTGTCAATTATGTCCTCACGTAAGTCAGACGTATTTGTTTCCTTGCTCTCTCTTGCTTCCCTGCCTCTCATCAGCCCGCTCTCACAAGCCACAAGCACCGTCTCTCCCTCTCTTGTCTCTGTCTCTCTCTCTCTCTCTCTGAAACTGTTCATTTGTCTCCTGTTTTGTTTTAATTTGAACAGTCTGGTCGTTTGGGAAGGTCCAAACTATTTCTGAACTCAGCACCGAGGGCCAGGTGCTAGGCAGTGGTGGGAACACCAGAATGGGGGCCCCCGCCCCAGGCACAGCTGAAGATCAGATCAGAGAGACCAGCCGAGGGATGTGGGGGGGCCGCAGGGGGCAGGTGGGAGACGCCCCCATCTTGCACAGGAGGCACAGGAGACGCATGTCCACACCGGGACTATGAACTTAAGCTCCTCGTGCCCACAGACATCAGGGCCGTCTTGCGTGCTCCCGCCATCTGGGATGGGGATAGCTCACATTTCCCCTCTCTCTTTCTATACAGCCTGTTGCAAATGATGATGAATGTTTGGTCCCTTTAAAATCTCAGAAGGTCAAGTTCAGTTGCAAATACTTTTAGGACCATTAGACACAACAGAACCTAAGTCTCCCTGGGGCCACATATCCCCACAGTCACATATTACTGTGGACCCACCATGGCTACTGTATGTTAAGTCGCCTGCACTCAGCTCTGGCCCTGAACTTGATACCCTTGCCCAGCCCCACCCTGAACGAGGTCCTCGTGTGTGTTCTTACACAGTCAGGATATAGGCTCTCACTTCTTTCATAGAATGATGGCCAGGTCCCTGGTTTCTTGGGTTTTGTTTTCTTTTTTCTTAGAAGTAGAGTGTGATTTTGGCAAAACTGCAGGGAAGAGAGCATTTTGGCCTCCCTGATGACTCCTCCTGAGCAGACGAGTGTAGGCTGGTACTTTAGATGACTTCCCCTACCACGAACGCAACTGTGTCAAGTTGGCTCTTAAGGACTGAAATGGGCACCTGGTGCGGAGATGGGCAAGGCGGGCAGCCAGGCTCCTGGACCCTGGAAGGTCCCCCGCTCACGCCTCCCTGGGTGCTAAATAGAGACACAGCTGAGCCACAGATCCTCAACGCGATAAGTAGTGCCCCCGCCCTCGCGTCGGCCCTGACACGCTTCCTAGTGGCCCAGGGTGGCCCTGGGAGATGAGTTTGGGACCTACTGGAGAGAGTTACAGAGACCTCCATCTCTTCCTGCTGGATAAGCTGACCTCCCTCCGCGTTGCCCGGGGCTGCAGGGGGGCTTTTAGGATGAAGGTGGGCTGCCCTTTGCTCAAGTCCGGCCTGATCCAACCTCAGGGAACCCGTCAGCTGGAGCTTTGTGAAGGAACTTGCTGGGGGGGGGGGGAGGGGGGCGGGGCCAGGGGAGCCGCTCCTCCCCGCAGGGCGCAGGGCCGCTGGACGTCACTTGCCCTGCTCTTGCTTCTCAGGGACATTGAGTACAAGGAACTGCAGTTGTCCCTGGACCAGGTGTCCACGTCCAAGTCCCAGGACTCCTGGAGGACCGCCTTGTCTACCTCACAAGAAACTAGGAAATTAGCTAAACCCAAAAATACGAAGATGAAGACAAAGCTGAGAACAAACCCTTACCCCCCACAGGTAACAAGCACCACCTGCCCAGGCAGGTGCCGCCCCGCGTGGCCTGGGGGCTTGGGACACCCAGCCTGTTCAGGAAGGAGCCTAGCCTCCAAGTGCAGAGCGGGTCCCGGCCTGGAAGTTTCCCTGAGGAGTGCAGCAAAGCCCCTCGGGGAACGTCCTGCACCCACACCGCAGAGACACAGCCCGAGGCATCGAGAGCTAACTTCGGGAAGGCTCAGCAGGTCTAGGAAGAAGAGGCTACATTAGGAAGGCACATGAGCTTTGGAAGCCGTGTTGGCGTAGCTTAGTGCACAGTGCATGGTGTTTCCATAGCTTTTTTTTTTTTAAATGAAAACCTTCCCTTTTTTTTTTTTTTAAAAGTACTTTGTAACCTCTCAGAAAGTGGCTACAAGTGTTTTCCACTTGGGCAGAGAAGGTCTTTCCACAGGGTGCCGTGGGGGTGGGGTGTCTCTGTGGTACTGCTTGCTGCACACCTGTCCCCGGTGGGACCTCACTGCGGTGGCCGCGGGTCGGTCCAGCCCGGGGGTGTGGTCAGGCTAACTCTAGGGTGGGATCCGGTGAGGCCGGAGCGCCGTCTCTCACCGGCCCTGGCTTCCGTCTTCCTTGCCATGCAGCAATACAGCTCTTTCCAAATGGACAAACTGGAATGCAGCCAGCTGGGAAACTGGAGAGCCAGCCCCCCGGCGACCGCCCCCGCACCCCCAGAACAGCAGCTCCATTCAGAAAGCAGCGACCTTCTGTACGCCCCGTCCTACAGCCTGCCTTTCTCCTACCGCTACGGACACTTCCCTCTGGACTCGCACGTCTTCAGCAGCAAAAAGCCAATGTTGCCGGCCAAATTCGGGCAGCCCCAAGGATCCCCGTGTGAGGTGGCACGCTTTTTCCTGAGCACACTGCCAGCCAGCGGCGAATGCCAGTGGCATTATGCCAACCCCCTAGTGCCTAGCAGCCAGTCTCCAGCTAAAAACCTCTCTGAGCCGCCGGTGAACGCTGCTCGGCACGGCCTGGTGCCAAACTACGAAGGTGGGTCATGTTTGCACGAGGGGGGGAGGGGGCAGGGCTGTGGATGGCGGCGGCGGTGGCGGTGGGTGGCAAATGGAAGAAGGATGCTCACGCTTTGGGCAGACTTCTTTTTCTGCTCGTAAGTAGGGGTTCTACGCTCTCCTGCTCGCAGTGCGTGTAGCTTCACAACAGGGAGCAAAGCTGGGCGACCGAGTCCGTGTGCTAGTGGTTCCAGTGAGAGCATAAAGGGTAGAGGACACCGGGTGTCCAGCCACCCTCCCTCAAAGCTCTGGCCTCACTGACTCCCCAAGAGGGAGACAAAGCGATTTTCAAAACCAGCTCCCACGTGCTGGGAATGCTCCAACTGCACTGATTTTACAAGATTCTTTCCACTCCACCCAAAGATGAATCTGGGGTACTGTTGGCTTTCTTCCCACGCCAGTTTTCAGAGTGTGAAAAACTGGTGGAAATTCATGAGCTCAGAGGCAAGAATGTCCCTCACCCACCCAGGGCAAATAACGTCAACACTCCAAGGACTCCCGATTCTTTATCTGTAAAATGGGATCGTAGGCCACGTGCTCTGCCTACCCCAGGGCTGGGCACACGCTAGGTGCCTGCCCGGCACTGCTGGTTCAACAACAGAGAGACAGGAATGGCCCCTCCAGCAGCTCGTCCTGGTGGCGGACAAGCCAATGTCCTCTGTGGATGTGCCGCCAGCCTCCCCAGGCCCAGACAGACTCCTGTTTGCTCACTGAGCCAACCCCAGGCAGAGGGTAGGTGGGCATCGAGGGGTGGCTGCAAGAGGTAACTTCCGGTTTCATGCAGACCTAACTACAGGATGGTGCAAATTTCCTGCGATGGCTGCTAAATGCGGGTAAATGTTAAAATGCCCCAGGAAAGAATCACCTGCTTAAAGAGGAGAGCTCCCCGGAGCCCCCTCATTCCCCCTCTTTCTCTCTTTGGAGGCGGGTCAGGCTCTGTTCTTCCTCAGCGGCTTTGCGAATCTCGTGTTCAGACCCAGTCTTTACTGTGCGGAGACACATTTTGTCCCTAACTCTGAGAAGACGGATAGACTAGGGGAGGAAGCCAACTGTCTTGGAGGTGACTAGGACATGGTTTTCAAAAGTGGGCAGCTTAGAAAAGCACCCACCAGCCGCTAGGGCAGCACAGCCCTGCCTTTTGGCCCGGGCCAGCCCTTGGGGCCGCCAGAGTCTCGGATTTGGAGAGCCAGCCATCAGCGCATTGGGCCCCTCAAATAACCAAGGAAGGATTTCCCCTGCCAGCCAATGAAAGGAAGACAAAGCAAAGTGTCTCGATAACAGCTGAAAATATTATCCACTTGAGATTGACCTGAATTACTTTTCTTGGTGTGTGGAAGGTGGCCAATGATGTAACTAACACACAGTATTACATTTTTTAAAAAATTGCTATTTTGAAAGCAAAAGAGGTTAATAACCACCTCATTTGTCACACACTTGGTAAAAAATGGACCAAAGGTGCTAATTTGGGGCAATTTGTGATCCACTTCCTAGTCTTTTTTTGATAGTAAAGGAAGCCAAAGAGTTCTTAAGGTAAAAAAAAAACAAAAAAAACAAAACAAAAAAACCCCCAGCAAAACACACCCATACGGAGGTAATTGATCGCAGGCTTCTAATTAGTGAGGGTGGTTATTATTTTAGTTATGGCCGCACTAAAGGGAGCAGGGTGATTACCACCCCACCCTCCCCACCGAGGGCTAAGGGGGGGGGGGTTGGGGGGAAAGGAAGCCTCTAGACGACGCTGTCCAAGATGGTAGCCAGGAGCCACGTGTGGCTCCCCAGCACTGAAATGTGGCTCCAAGGGGAATGAGAAGGGCGGCTAGGTCCGGTCTGCCTGCACTTGGAAGACAGAAACAAAGGATCAAATTCCTCCATCATTTAAAAGTATTGATTCCACCCTGAAATAACCTTTCGGACATGTGGCATTAAATTCAGTGCACTGTTAACACGAATTCCACCTGTTCCTCTTCGCTCTCTAACGCGACCACCCAGCCGAACGCCTCAGACGGCAGCCTGCGCGCGGAGGGGCAGGGGCGCGTGCGGCTGCGGGGCGGAGCGAGCCGCGGGGGGCCGAGGGGGTGGGGGTGGCGGCGGCAACCGGGGCCCGCCGGGCTGGTGCCGCTTTGGGCATGTCCCCTTCCTCCCCCTTCCCCCCCCCCACCCGCGAGGGCGTCTAACGTGTCGCCTGTCCCCGCAGCGCCCGCCGCCGCCGCCGCGCGCAGGTTCGGCGAGGACACCGCGCCGCCGCCACCGCCGCCGCCGAGCTTCCCGAGCTGCGGCCACTACCGTGAGGAGCCCGCGCTGGGCCCGGCCAAGGCCGTCCGCCAGGCCGCCCGGGACGGGGCGCGCCTGGCTCTGGCCCGCGCGGCGCCCGAGTGCTGCGCGCCGCCCGCCCCGGAGCCCGCGGGCGCGCCTGCGCAGCTGCCCTTCGTGCTGCTCAACTACCACCGCGTGCTGGCCCGGCGCGGGCCGCTGGGGGGCGCTGCGCCCGGCGCGCCCGCCCTCGCCTGCGGCCCCGGCGCCCCCGAGGCGGCGGCCGGCGCGCTGCGGCCCCGGCCCCCCGGCCCCGCCGCCGCCTCGCCGCCCGGCGCGCCGCTGCCGCACTACCTGGGCGCCTCGGTCATCATCACCAACGGCAGGTGACCTCGCGCAGGGCTGCCCGCAGGGAGAAGCCATAGGCCGGGCCCCGGGCTCCTGTTCTCCGGAGTGCAGCCGAGCTACGAGGGGCGAGCTGTATATGCACGGTTTAAATTAATTTATACAGAGACGACTATTTTAATAGAACTCCGCGGCCGGCTTCTAGATTTTTACGTAGATCCCGCCAACGCCGGTGCAGAGGACTGCGGCGCGGCCCGCGGCGGCGCAGAAAGGCCCGCCAGACCTTTGTTCTCCAAGAGCCGGGTTCCGAAGCGGGCAGAGCTGAGCGTCCCCCGCGCCCCACGTGCGACCTGCGCCGGCCCCGTCCCCGGGGGCGGGCTTGGTTTCCAGGCCTTGACATCAGGCCCGCGGGCCTTGCCTCGTCCCCGATGCTCAGCGGCAGTCCCACCGGGGATTGAAGGAGCTTCCACTCCGCGGAGAGCCTCCGCTGTAAAGAGGAAAGCCCACCCTGATACCTTCAGATACGCCGGGGCGGTGGCCCACCCGGAGGAGGTGGCTCCAGCCTTCAGAGCGCTCTTCGATTCTTAAGGCAGGATGTGATCTAAGTTCCACGAATCGACAACTCTAATGTCTTTAAAAGTCATTCATGAGTCTTCACTAAAAGTTGTCGTTTTAATTTAAGCCTTTTTTTGGTACAAAAATCAGCAAGCCAAGACCAAGGGAGTGAATGAGCATAGGTGTGCTTTTATTTCCTCCTAACCTCTGTGAACTCGATACCATCAAGAATAGCACCTTCAGAGTATATTGAATAGGCATCAAATGCGAAAAATATATATAGCCAGATTATTTTCTGAGAATGACACGTGGATGATTTAGGTGCCCAAGGCGACTGGCTACCCCTGTCAGGTTTGACTACAAGGTGAAAGCCCTGCGGCCCACCCAGACCTGTATTTCCCTAGGCTCGTGTTTGCTACAAGTAGTGCTAATAAAGTTAGTTAACATTGCATGTGCAATATGGAAAATTGTCAATGGTCTGCGCCTTGTGGAAGAAAAGTCGCTAAAGGGATATAATAAAAATGGTGTATACGTGTTCTTTAGCAATTTCCTGCCTTTTCTGCATAGCAAGAAAACTCCATGAACATGGCCTGTATGTAACAGGAAAACAGAAATCCTTTTATAAAGCACCAGCAGTGTTTTTAAAAATAAACTTCCGTTCATTTTTGTCTTAGTTTTATATTTTTGCTTCAAGAGTTCACCATTTAAAAAACCATACCATGGCTCTGAAGTGGATGGATGCACCAAGCCACCGTCTTTCAATTTGCTTCACACTATAATCACGCCATCATTTCGCTGTTTCAGAAATGGTTTTTCTAGGAAACCCTGCGCCTTTCTGCGTGGAAAGATTTTTCACAAATGCCTTTAAGATTCTAGAATCAAAGGGCACCTGTAATCAACTGTTCCCAAAATGTGAAATGATCATCTGCCGACCTAGTGTCACACTGAGGGTCTCCGCCTTATTCTTAGCAGGGTGTCAGTTGCCTCATGGTGGGTGGGTGAAACTTGCAAATTTTGGAACGTGTGGTGCAGCGAAGGGACTGAGTCCTAAGAATCCAACACACAGACCCCAGTTGCACTTAGCTATACCTCATCAGCAGCTCTTTGTGCACGTAGAAAATAAGCCCGGGGGGAATTCTTTTCTTATGCTCACAAGTCTCTAATAAGCCATGATTCCTGGAAGGAGGGGTTTTGATGAGCAGGAGAGATCACCTGACATTTTTCAATAAAGTACCGCAAAATGCATTTGTGTCTACCTTGTTATGAACCATTGGGGGCCGTATTGATGAGTAAATACAAATCATGAAGGCTTTTCAAGCAGCTTAAGATCAAAGGTTGTGGTGAAAAAGACCGTTATAGATTCACAGATGATAACATAAGTAGGCTTGACAATGAGTGTGTGTGTACTTGAAAAATAAAATGGGTACTAGGGAAAACGGTCTTGTCTACACAAACATCATGGTTTTCATAGCCTAGAACATGAAGGAAGATTCCTGTGCAAGCCGGCTTCCAGGCAGCCGGCAGCTCAGTTTAAAGTGAACGGGAGTTACTATGGCAACCTAATATTGTTACCTCCATCTTTAAGAGTCTGCACATTTAAGCTGGGGATATCGTTTCTTGACTTCTCTGAGGCTCCGGCAGGGGAAGAGGAAGTATTTTAATAAATATGACTTTCACAAAAAAAGAAAAAAAAATTGTGGTGGGTCCTAACACGTTGACGAAAAATGCCAGATCAAACGGATTTGAGAAAGAAACCCAGTTTAAGACTGGCTCGGCCCTCCAAGGGGCCTCCCAGGGAAAGGAATTCCTTTATGTTCATGGAAGCCCTTTCTAGAAAAGCCATTCCATTCATACCTTTGTAGAGAAGGGAACAGGGTGTGAAGAAGGGCTGCTCCAAAAATCCGGTATTTTCCACTCCCTGGTCCCACACCTTTTTGTCCTTCTTAAGTCCTAGGGCCAACCAAGGCGTTCCACTTGGACCCTAAGGGTGGGAGAAGTTTACGTGGTCAATGAATCCTGTACAAAGTCTACCCGAAGTTGTAATTTATTGTAACTGTAAGACAGTTAAGGTAGACTGTGGGGGGTGCTCCGATAAAATGACATACAAAGAACGTTTTCAAATAAATGCCAGGAAATTATAGTAGTTTAAAATCGTAGTGCATCACAGCCCTTGGGTTATCGAAGATGCATTTATTCAAGCTGTTCCTAAACTTAAGTATGACATATAAAGTTAAAATCTTGGGGAAAAAAACCTCAAAAGTCAAGCAGTTCTTACACAGGAACAATTCTCCAAGAACAAAATTTGTTCTTCTAGTAAACTTGTTGTTAAATTTTCAATTTAAAATTTTATATTAAATTTACTTCTCACCTCAGTTAAGAGCTTTCTTGTTTTTGTTTTGTTTTTGTTTTACTTTGGGTTTCATTCTTTGGAGTAGGAAGATTTCTCTTTTGTATGACACATAACACATTTGTCAAAAATAAATAAAAAACAACAAAAAGCACCCGGCTTCTTAATAACTTAGAAGTACATACATACTCCTTACCATGTAAAATTATTTATTTTGTAAAAATGTTTAAATATGAATAAAAATACTGTAACCAAGAGTAGTTGCCTATTTTTAAAAATGACACGTGGTAAAAATAACAATGAGCCCAAACTGTACAGAAAATCTGAAAGTTTATTTTGGTTAAGACTTGAGTTTTATAGGCACTGGTTTAAAGTAATTACTTTTCAGAGACGATACTTTGAAAAGATAAAAATGGGAAGATTTACGCTTTAAAAAAATTTAAATGTGCATAGTAATTACGCAGGAATAAGGAGTCTCCGTTTTCTGCCGGGTAAGAGCAGACAGAGCTTCTAGAAGGCAAGCCGAAAATGCCTCCCTGCTACATCCTGAAACTGCTGGGTGAGGCGGGCTTTTCTCCCACTTCCCAAGCTCAAGGGCAGGAGCAACCACAGGGGCTGGCCCCGTGCTTGTACGTGGGGCAGCCGGGGATTGGAGGCTGCATGGTACCCCGACCTGGGCCCGTGTAGCCCTCCATCACCCACCCCTCATGGGCCCACTCATTGTCACATCACGCAAAGTCTGTGGTAGCAAAGAGGAGTGTTTGAGACCAGACACGAATCCTTGGACTTTTTGCACACACCTCCCCCCCCCCCCACCCCCACTCCCCGACGCTGCCAGGAGGCCCAGCATCCAGGGGTGCTGCTTTGGCGGGGGCCACGTGTCCTAGGCAAAACTTTGAGCACATTCGGGGGCCTTGCCTTTTACACAATGCACAGCCTCTACACTGGGGGGCCAATCGGTAAGATGCTCAACGCGCAGGCCAATCATTGTGCAGCCTCTACACGCAGGGAGCAAATCAATGCACAGCCTTTACACACGCGGGCCAATCAAATGCCTTGGAAAGCACTCGCCAGTCTTGAGTTCAGTTGCCATGTTTTCAAGATTATAAAGAATATTCCAAGTTTCCGCTAAGACTTTAAAGCTTCTTGAGATCAGAGACTGCCGGTTGCACCCGAAATCCATGGGGGTCGTGTAGAAAGTAATTTCCCTAACCCTAATGGCTACAAAATGCTTTTATTCAGCTCTTCTATATGAAGCAGAATTTCAAAAGTCTTTGGTTCATCTGAGGCAAAGTCAGGTCTATGAAAAACGTAGCATCTGCTTCAAGTCTACTTCGTGTCCCTCAAGACGACTGGGTGACAACACGATAAAGAACAGTCTTAAAAGCACAGAGGCAAAGGAGTCCATGCCCGGAACATCTCCATCTGCGCTGACATGGCCACACTTCATTAGTTTTAATTTACAGAAAGGAAATGAAATGATAACATTTTTTTCCCCAAAGAAGAACTATCTAGAATAGGACTTCGGCTTAAAACAAAACATAGCATGTTTCTCATTAAAGAACCCCCCCAAAGAAATTCAAACAGCAACAATGGCAGCTCTGAGAGATGACTTGCCTTGTATTACAAAGTTTGAGAAATGAAACTCGCAGTATTAGTCCGGAGATCTCTCCTCTTGATGATGTTTTGCAGATGCCTTCTCATGGGTGAGTCCATTTGGTAATTTTGGGGTGGTGTGGACTTTTATTTAAACTTGTCACTAATTCCAAAAGACTTACACACTTAAGGACAGAAGCTGTTTTTTTTTTTTTTTTTTTTTGAGAAAAAAAATTCTAATTGAAGCCTTATTTGCAAAAATTACTTCTGAAGTTTTTTTAAAAGTTACATTTCCAAGAAACACATATTGGGTTGGTGTACTTAACTAAACATGCTATTTCCCCCCTCCCCCCCTTCCTATGGTGCTGGCTGTGCCTGGCTAAAGGTGGACAGATTTTATACTGAAAACCGCAAGCTTTTGGAATTAGCCTGACTGGGTAAAGCTGGATAAAGATAGGGCTAGTGTATAATAAGGGGATTCTGTTCAAAGCTGAGAGCTCCATCAAGTTTTCTTTCCACTAATTTCAATTGGGGCAGGCAGGAAGAGAGAAAAGTGGACAAAAACTGGCCTTTTAAGGCTCAAAAGTAATGTGTATGATCCACAAGTTCAACAGAGATAGGAGTTACATGGAAAAAGCATGGACTACATCTGGAAATCACAAATGTATATCAAAAGGCTTCCTTTCTTTTGTTCTTCCACGGAGACTTTTAGGGCATCAGATCCTGAACAGCTTCTTTTAAAGCTTAAACACACACACGCGCGCGCACACACATCCTCCCTCTTAAATGATGGCGTTGAGTATCAGTTGTATTTTCTTTCTTGGCAATTTAGAAGAAGAGGGGCAAACAATTACGACTTACAAATAAAATGCCATGTACCTCTATCCTCTGCACAAACTGTCTCTCAGGAATGCGCCACATTTCAAAGGGAACCTGCAACCAGCTTAAAAGCCCCAAAGCTTCCCTTGTGTGTGGTATGAAGGGAGCCTTCGTCTCCAGCTGCTGGGGCCCAGTCATCCCCCCTCTTCATCCATACGAGGCTTAATCAACACTTTAAGGCTCTTGAACTTGATCCCATCGTTTTGGGATAGGCAGTAAATTCAAACTTATGAGAAGAGCGCTCAGACACGAACGTCCAAGCAGGTAAGTGCTTTCCTCGCCAAGGTCACTGCAGCCACCCCAGTGACACCCATCTCCGCAGCCCCTTAGGTACTGGGTTTGGACCGCAAACCACTGGGCCCAGAGGATCCCTCAGAAATCGACTTTCTTTTTCCTTATGGACAAAAAAAATAAAATGACAACGAACTGCCAAAGTATGTTCCTCTAGGAAAACACCTCCCGGGATGCTCATAAACAGTGTTACCAAACCTCTACCTCATCGCTGGCCTGGGCCTGGAAGCTTCTTTTGATTTATTTTTTAATAGTCTGGGAGTGAAGGTCTCCGCTACTGGGGAAACATCTGAATTATTCCGTTGCTGTTTCCAAATAAAAACTTTTTTCTTTCTGGGCCAATAAACACACATCCAAGCCGGAGAGGGGAGAAGGATTTCACACCTATGGTACTGCTTTATCTGAATTAAATGTTCCGCTACCCGCAGAACATCTTCTGACACCAAGTCAATCGGCAGCAGACAGAACAAAATTAAGGAATTCAGGAGATTAACTGGAGGGAGGAAAAATAAAATCCACCTACAAGTCTAAATCCGTTTTCCAGTTCCTCGGGCTAGGAAAGGCAGCAGAAATTGAACCGGAATGTTCCCCGCAGTGGCTCCGCCCGCCCTCCCGCTGCCCAGAGGCCAGGACGGCGGCCCCAGGCCGGGGCTACTGCTGTTTGGGGATGATGAGGTTTCTCAGCATGTCGAAGGAGTTGCCGTCTGGGTGCACCGTCATGACCTCGCCGCCCTCCTGGTGAACCTGAAGGAACCCAGAATTGTCCAGGCCGACTATCCACACCTCCGGGCCCTCGAGGCCTCCTAGGCGGACCCTCTGGCCACTGTACATGAAGAAGAACAGAGAGTCACTGGGAAATGTCATGCGTCTAGAGACAGGTGATTAAGGACCTACCCACTGTGCAGAGGGACTGGGGGGGCGGGGGACGAGATAAAAGGCTCTGACTCTCACTGGTCCCTCATGAACTGTTTCGATAAACGACTAGAATAATCAGGGTGATGGCAATTCCAATGGGGAGCTCGGACCTTCTCGGCACCACTTCCTCACCCTCCAGCACTTCTAAGGCTCACTGTGCAACTCTAGGATTTTTGGCCGAGACTGGGGACACAGAAACTGAGCTGGAAAGTTAATTTTATAAAAACATGGCTGGCGTGCATCACCTGCGAGTGAAACTCACTCTAATGTTGCTTCATTTAATATGTTCCAAACGTACCCTTTGAGTTACATCCGTATAAATAGTTTTTAAAATACAGGGTACCTCTTCCTCCCCCTGCCACTCATTTTTCAAATATTTGGAAGAAGTCTAAACATACAGAAAAGCTGAAAAAATAGTACAACACACCTCAGATCCCCTCTTCACTTATATTCACACCAACTGATAACATTTTCCATATTTGCTTTCTCTCTTCAGGCACACACACGTGCTTTTTTGCTGACGTTTAGAAATAAGTTGCAGGCATCATGACACTTTACCCCTTAAATACTTCAGCATGTACCTTCTAAGAACAATCTCCCACAAAACCAGAATACCATTATTACCCTCAAGAAATCTAATCTTGATATAATAACATCTAATATATAGTTCATGTTTAAATCTCCCCATTGTCCCATTAATATTTTTTGTGGCTGTTTCCTCCCATCGAGGGTCTAATTATGAGTCGCATCTTGCATTTAGTTGTCATGCCTCTCTAGCCCTCTTTAATCTCAACCAAATCTCCCACCTTCTTTTTAGTTTTTGTGTTTGAGGACACTGCCGTTTTTGAAGCATGGGAGCCAGCTGGTAGATAGCGGCACCTCTCCAGCTTTGGGTGCGAGCGGATCTCCTGGAGCATGTACTGAAACATGAACGTGCTCAAATGCTCGGCCAGCCTCAGAGTTTCTGATTTAGGAGGCCCAGGGTGGCACTTGAGAATAACCTGTACTTCTAACAAGTTCCCAGGTGAGGATGCTACTGCCCCTGGGGGATCTCACTTTGAAAACTGTTGTTATCTAGAACGTTCTACGATTTAAATAAACACGCTGGAAAACTCTCCGGTGATGCTGTGTCCTTCTCGCTGCATCCCGTCAGCAGCAGGCCTAGGATGCCAGCTCGTCCTGGCACTGCCGATGGTAACTGGCTCAAGATGGTGTCCGCCAGTTTTTTTCTCCATCGAAAAGGTAAACAATTAGTTATCTAGACCTGTGCTCAGTTTCTTGTTTTAAGACACTGAACTACTAACTGGATGAAGGCATTTTAAAAGAATGAAGACGGGGGCACCTGGGTGGCTTAGTCGGTTAAGCGTCCGACTTTCGCTTAGGTCATGATCTCGCGGTTCGTGGGTTCGAGCCCCGCATCGGGCTCTGTGCTGACTGCCAGCTCAGAGCCTGGAGCCTATTTCAGAGCCTGTATCTCCCTCTCTCTCTGACCCTCCCCTGCTCATGCTGTCTCTCTCTCTCCTAGAAAGAAAAAAAAAGAAAAAAAAAAAAAGAAAGAAAGGGATTTCGGAGATGACTGACCGGCTCAGTCAGAAGAGCATACAATTCTTGATCTCAGGGTTGTGAGTTTGAGACCCCCGTGGGTGTCGANGGAGCCTGTTTCAGTCTGTGACTCCCTCTCTCTCTGACCCTCCCCTGCTCATGCTGTCTCTCTCTCTCCTAGAAATAAAAAAAAAAAAAAAAAAATATTAAAAAAAAAAAAAAAAAGAATGAAGACGGGTCAGCACTCACCTGTGTACCCAATACTTATAATAAAGGGGAAGAACGCCGTTGGGCCCTTTGTCCTGAAATGTGCCGATCAGTTTCTCCAGCGCCGTCACAGTTCTGGCGATGAGCTCATCAGTCCTGAAGGGCTTCAGCTCTGCCCTGTGTCGCTTATTGTATTCCGTGACCAGATCATTGATGCATATGGTGGGGTTACTGTTACTCACGTTAAATCCACAGCCTGCCACAAACACAAATGGTTGAAAAGCGCGAGCGGCTCAGCCTATTGGGAGGATCACCCGTTCCTCTCAACCACCTGGAAGAAGTTAGAGCCTGTATCCCCTGCGTCCTGCTTCCCTTTCCCTCACGTCAAATTTATTATCTCTGGCCACTTAAAGAATGACTTATGTCTTTGGGACCACGTTCCTTTCTTCACCCTTCCTTTATTACCCTTGTTCAAGTGGGGACCACCCCAACCTCACTGCAGATCGGTCGGGGAGAGAGAGCCAGGCAGATTCGATTCGATTAAACAGAAGCTCTGAACGGGGCCGAGCTCCTCAGACTGGCCTCTGAAACGATCCTTCATGGGGTCGAGCCAAGAATTGCAGGTCTGCACGGAGCCCAACATAAAGTAAAACCTCGTTTCTTTTCCGACTTGAATAACAGAACACACGTCTGAAAATAAAGGACTTTATTCAGGTCTTAAGGAGTAAACTCTGGATGCAGAGATTTCAAACCTTGGTCGTGGCATACACCTAGAACACATCTTTTAATACTTTAGCCTTGGAAGTCTCTGGTGCTAGGGTTACGCTGCTGGCAAGGGGCCTACATTGTTCAGTGGCTCTTTTACAGGCTCCTAAACCACGGCTTCGGGAGAGCGGGTTACCAGCCGTGGGGTTTGAACAGCCTTGTCTCCGCGGTTACTTAATATCACCATCCTCTCCGGGAGAGCTACAGTCTACAGAGAAGTCAAACCTCACTTTCAACAGGGCCCTGAATCAACCTCAAAGAGGTCTTCAATAAGAAATGAAATACGGCAAGAACGCAGCAGTGAGACTATCTTGTTTTCAGTGCCTCTGAGAAAAAAAATCCCCCCAACACTCGTCTCAGATAGAATGGTGACATTTATAATAACAGTATTCTTCAGTAAATGTTCAGAGCCATTTGCAGCATGAAAGGAAGGATTGATGGGCCTCAGAGTTTTGTTTTTTTAAAATATACCGGCTATTAAAATACAAAGCAATATAAATTACATCTGGAAACAACACATAACTACAGCAACGGGGACAGAATTAGCAGTTGTTCATTTGTTCATTCATTCGACAACACACAGAGCACGGAGGGGAAGGCATTAGAGTAAGTGTGTACAGTGCTGAAAATCTCCCTTATATTCCGAAAATTCCAGGTCCGGGGGAAAATAGGAATACTGACCAGTGCCAGCTTAGGCTACGCCTTTCCAAGGACCAGAGAAAATCCTTGTTGGTGACTCTGAATCTTTTCTCAAAGATGCCCCTTCTCCCCTCATCACCTCCCAGAGCCTTAAGAATTTAACAAAAGCTGGGGCGCCTGGGTGGCTTAGTCGGTTAAGCGTCCGACTTTCGCTTAGGTCATGATCTCACAGTTTGTGGGTTCGAGCCCCGCGTCGGGCTCTGTGCTGACTGCCAGATCAGAGCCTGGAGCCTGTTTCAGTCTGTGACTCCCTCTCTCTCTGACCCTCCCCTGCTCACACTGTCTCTCTCTCCCAAAAATAAATAAAACATTAAAAAAAAAAAAAGAATTAACAAAAGCTATAAATTCTCCCCACATGAACACGTCCCCCCACCGCCCCAGTGACAGAATTCCTTAGCTCCTGAAGCATTCCCTGGGCCTCCTTGATACCTGTGGGCCCTCCTTCAGAATATCTGCATCTAGCCTAATTAACACATTTAAAAATGGGAAGCGGAGCCTGGATGATATTAGGCAGTTTGCTCAGAATAATACTGCCGGTGGAGAGCAGCACTGGAAACATATGCTTTGTACTTCTGGCTGGTATTTCTGACACATCGTCACACGTGTTCTGTCCGTTGCTAATTTTTGAACGTTAGGTTCTCCTGGGCATTAGGGAGAAGCTGATGCTCAGATGGGCAGGAGCCTAAGAACTTCTGACACTGTTTCTGAATCCATCTCCTTGCCTGATACGGATGCGCTGAGGGGAAACAGGCTTCTTTAGCCCATCTTGATGGGCCTGAAGCTTCTTCTAAAGGTCCAAAAGAACGCAACTTTTTCAGGGCCTGGGAAGGTCCCATTAAGAATGCCAGACCACCAGGAGACCCATCCTTGATATTAACTTTCTTTGCTTATCATAAAATGGCATATTCAATGCTTACTTTCACCATTCAACAGGGAGTAGACGTGTGGAGAGGTGTAATAAAAAACCTGTTTGATGTGATACCAGTTTCGTGGTTTCCATGGCCATGGACAAGAACGCTGAGCCCCTTTGAAGGGCTTTCAACCATTCTGGCCTCTTTTGCATACATCTTGTGTTCTGTAACTCGGGACTCAAAGAAAAAGTAATCCCATATGATAATCCATTCCCCCCAGTGTAGCCATGTATAAACCATTTTTATTTTTGCTTTTATTAATCTAAAAAGGTGGAGGAAAGGGCTTTAAAAACTTACCAATAAGTATATAAAACGTTTCTCCCAAAAGTGTTGAGTTCACCAGAACTCCGCCAAGCTTCATGAGGTCACTATAATAAATATCGTTGGGCCATTTCACTCGTAAGTCGATATCCTAAAGGAAAATCTGTGCATTAATCAAGCGAGCACAGGATACAAAGGGAGAGGTCATCTAGCGCAAAGGAAGATGAGTGGGATACTCTCGAATCTAAAGGAACATGGGATCTCAACCTCTCTTCTGGTTCTGACAGCTAATCTTTGGGACAATCCAGTGTAAAGGGACCACCTTGGGGGCTGGGAGAGAGACCTAAAGAACATATCTGGCATAAATTTTGGCATCTTCCCCATGCCCAGCACTGTTCATTACCTCAGTACAGGCATACGTCTTTATTGTGCTTCACAGATACTGTTTTTTCACACAGTGGAGGCTTGCAGCAGCCCTGGGCGGAGCCAGCTGATCTACCAGGGCCGCCATCTTTCCAACACCCTTGCCCACTCCGTGTGTCTGTGGCACATTTTGGGAATTCTCACAATGTTTCAGACTTTTCCATTATTTGGTTATTATGGTGATCTGTGATCAGTGATCACAACTCGCTGAAAGCTCAGATGATGGCTAGCATTTTTTAGCAATAAAATATACCTTTTTAAGCTTTTCCTTTATTTTGAGAGAGAGAGATCAAGTGAGCACGAGCAGGGGAGGGGCAGAGAGAGAATCCCAAGCATACTCTGAGCTGTCAGGGCGGAGCCTGATGAGAGGCTCAAACTCTCGAAATGTAAGCTCATGACCTGAGCCGAAACCAAGAGTCGGATGCTTAACCGAATGAGCCACCCAGGCGCCCCCACAATAAAATGTTATTTAGTTAAGGTGGGTACTTTGCTTTTTTAGATGTAATGCCATTGCACCACAGTATAGTGCAAACATAATGTATAGGCATCGGAAAACCAAAACCCACCAGCAGTGAGCACCTATAGGGTGCTGGGTGGGGGGCAGGGAGAGAATTATACTCTTGGGGTCCTTTTCCCTTAAGGAGCTCACGCCTGAGACAGAAAGATGCCATACATTAACCAATGTCATAAAAGATGGGTAGAAACATCTCAAGGAGAATCCTACAGAGATGCAGGGGAGGAACATGGTTCACTGAATTATTACTGAAGGGCCTCACAACACTGCCAACAGTCAGCAGGTAACAGAAAGGATTTGTTCCGTGGCTCCCTGCCTCTCCATCCTGAAGCGGCCCTGGGCGACCCTGCCTGAGTCCTGGTCACAGTGGAACGGTAGAAGGGTGGTCCAATGCCTTGGGCTGGGCCACCCAGACCCCCACCTCTTGCCAGGACTCTTAAGTGGGGGCACAGAGACCCGCTGAGACCCAGTGGGTGCTGGAACTGCCAGGTCTCCCGGGCCCGGGGCTGGCAGCCAGGTTATGCCATGTGTGGGGAGAAGAAAAAAATCGGGACATATGAGGCTAGAAGAAAGGCACTCGGCAAAATAAAACGAAAGACTGCAGGGTAGCTGATGGCCTCTGATCCCACAGAGCTGTCTCTTCCTTCCCGGAGGGCCAGCGCCGCCCTGAGCCCCATGCTGGCACTAGTGTGTATGTTACTTATACCAGACCCACAGTGGGTACTAGTTTCGTCCCTATTTAACGAGGAAGAAACTGAAGCTGAGAGACACTGCCTGGCTGGCCTGCGGTTACACTCAGAAGTGGCAGAGCTGGGATTCAAACCCAGGGCTTGCTTGCTTGCTTTTCTTTTAAACGTTTACTTGCTTTTTTGAGAGTGAGTGCATGACAGTGGGGAAGGGCCAGAGAAAGAGGGAGACACAGAATCCCAAGTGGGCTCCAGGCTAGGAGCCATCAGCACAGAGCCCAACGCGGGGCTTGAACTCACGAACTGTGAGATCATGACCTGAGCCGAAGTCGGATGCTCAACCAACCAAGCCACCCAGGCGCCCCCAAACCCTGGGCTTTCTGACACCAAGCCCGCAGGGGGCCGAATACTGTGCGACACAGCCTGCTGCTTCCAAACAATCCCTTTCTCTCTCCAAGGCCTTTTGCACTTGGCCAGTGGGAATATGTTTCGGTTCTGCTCTGCAGGGGATTCCAGGCAGAGAGAAGAAACGCAGAAGCACAAAGGAACGGAAGTGTAAAGGAAACGTGGGGGGTGTGCACCGTGACTTGTAACTGAAAGGGAGGGAGCTTCATATTCCTTCCTGTCTAGAATAGGGATCTCCATGGGGCCGGAGCAAGGGCGACATCCTGCTGCCCTAACCCCAGGGGACACTGGGCATCGCTGCAGACGTCTCTGGTCGTCGCAGCTTGAGGGAAACCTGCGGGCGCCGCGTGGGAGCAGCGCCAGGATGCTGTTCTGCCTCCCGCGGATGTCACCTGAGATGGGAGCCCAAGGTCAACAGCGTCCAGACCAAGAAACGCTGGTGTCGAAAATCTGTAGCTTGGAGACTGTGGGCCTGGACACTGTCACAGGTCTCCTTCTTTGTCGTCTCTCGCCTTCCCCGGCCCCCTGTGCCCAACACGCTCCCCGCCCAAGCTCAGCTCCCGCAGTAGGTGGGCAGCGGCCTTCTTGTGCACTGGCCCCGCTCCTGGGCTCCTGATTTTCTTCGCAAGTTGCGATCTGGCGAGTCAGTACTGCGGCTTACGGAATCGGAACTGTGGGTTCTGGGGCGGGTGAACAATGGCATCTATTTCAAGACGAAGAGAAAGGCCGCGTGCTTATTTTATACTATCTCAACCATGTATTCAAACAGCTGCTGTGGGCCCCCCGGGTATAAAGCACTACATTAGGCTCCTTGGGACCCAAATAAAACTACTGCACTCACAGAACTGGTTACTTTATCAGATGCAACCAGGAGCACAAATAACTGCACAAATAATCGCTGCTCCAGAGCGATTCGCAGGAGAAACCATAAAAGTGGCTCAGACCTTCAAAATACCAAAAGGTTATTTAGAGGAGGGAGGTTGTCGCTAGAAGTTTCCAGGAATGGCACTGGAGCTGGGCCTCCCAGGGCCAACAGAACTTCCAGGCATAGAGAGGAGAGGAGAGGAGAGCAGGAGGGTGGGGGTGGAGGGCTACAGGCGCCCAGCGGGGACCTCGCGGACAGAAGGAGCAGTGAGAGGGGCGGCGGGCAGCACATTGCAAGTTCCGGAAGGAGTAAGGGCCTCTGGTCCAGAGAGACAGGCACCATCGGTGTGCTGATGAAAGAGTAAGAAAGGCCAACTGTACGGGGCGCCTGGGGGGCTCAGTCAGTTAAGCGACCGCCTTCAGCTCAGGTCATGATCTCGCAGCCTGTGGGTTGGAGCCCCGCGTCGAGCTCTGTGCTGACTGCTCAGAGCCCGGAGCCTGCTTCAGATTCTGTGTCTCCCCCTCTCTCTGCTCCTCACCTGTTCGTGCTCTCTCGCTCTCTCTCTCAAAATTAGATAAACATTAAAAAAATTTTTAAATAACAAAAGAAAGGCAAATTCTATGTAACTGGGGCCTATTTCAACCATCCCAGAGCTGTACTATGTAAGCCTAATGGACTCTGTTAAAAATAAATACTGAGAGGTGCCTGGGTGGCTCAGTCAGTTAAGCGTCCAACTTCAGGTCAAGATCTTATAGACTGTGGCTTTGAGCCCTGCATCAGGTTCTGTGCTGACAGCATGGAGCCTGCTTGGAATTCTCTCCCTCCCTCTTCTCTCTTCCCTTTCCCCACTCGTACTCTCTCAAACTGTAAAAAAAAAAAAATTCTTTAAATAAATCAATCCTGAGAAAGTAAATCCTAAGAGTTCTCATCATAAGGGGAAAAAATGTTTTCTGGTAACTATAGGAGGTGATGGGTGCTAAGTTCCTGTGATGTCACGTCACTTCACAAGGATGTCAAGTCGTTGCGCTGTGTGCCTCAAACTGCCACAGTCAATTCTGTCTCAGTAAAAACGGAAAACGAAACAAAGGAAGAATTCCTCCAATCCCAAACCAAAGTCACATCACACAGGTGAGACTGAGCTGTGTGACTGCGGAAACAGGACAGAAGAAGGGGGGGGAGTGGAGGGCGGCGGGGAGGGGTGGGGACATCACCCATCAGGTGTGCTGTGGAGGGCAGGCCGCCTACCTCACCTCCCTCTGCCTGCAGCGCCTGGCACAGCCCTTCCCCTCCGGCAGGCACTCCAAGAATGCTCGCTAAGTTACCAAAGGAGGCTACAAGGTCACAATCAAAGCCAAGAGAAACCTCACCAGGCTAATTTAAATTTTAAATTTCATTTATTTTCCCAAGACTAATGAACCTGTTGCTAGGGTTAAAATATTCTCCCCTGACCTCCCAAGAGAACTTCATCTTCTCGCCTGCCTTCTCTGCGGGGCGATGTCTGAGCCCGTGAAGGTTTGGGCGAAGCCTGCTGGCCCTGAGCGGGAGCAGGCCAGAGCGGCTGCAGACAAAGGCCTCCCACCTGAGATGGGTGAGATGGGGGGCCCGAAGGTCAACAGCGCAGAGGGTGAGAAATGCTGGTGTGGGAACTCTGTAGCTTGAGCCCAAGCCCTTCAGATACAGACAGCAAGGGTGCTGAATGCCTGGTGATAAATGTCATGTTTCAGCCTGGGTCTTAACATGGGAACCACGTACCCCAGTCCTACACACAGTGACCGTGAGGACAGGACCACATCGGAGGGGGCTCAGGGGCACTGGGGACGACTGGTTCCTAGTGAAACATGAGCACAGGCCCCTTTGAGAGTCTGGTCTCAGCCTCTGACTTCACGAATTAACATGATAATTGTTTTCAGCCTCACATAAGAGTTGTAGGTGGGAGAGAGCCTGGGAAGGAATTCCCTCTAAAAAAAAATTTTTTTTAATGTTTATTTTTTGAGAGAGAGACAGACAGACAGACATGAGTGGGGGAAGGGCAGAGAGAGAGGGAGACACAGAGCTGTTAGCACAGAGCCCAAAGCGGGGCTCAAACTCCAGAACCCTGAGATCATGACCTGAGCCGAAGCGGGACGCTTAACGGACTGAGCTGCCCAGGCGCCCCAGGAACTCCCTGATTACAGTCATGTGGAATTCTTCCAGGAAAACTGAGGAGGTGGATACAGTGACTGTGTTCATAGGTCTCTCGTCTCCTTAGTAAGTGACACTAAAGTATCCAATGGGAACGATGAAGCCAGCACCCCTGCCCTACAGCTGGGAGCATACACCCCAAAATGAACCTGCATGTTGAACCTGGGCGGCCACAGAGAAAGGACTGTTCTGCCCAATAGTGACTGTGCTAAATGAAAGTAGGAAATGAGAAGGTTGTTTAGGTCCATAAAATAAGCCTTTTTCACAAGACACAAATGGCCCATCCAGTCCAAAATGCTTCAGTTAAAGGAAAAAAGAAATAAAAAGAGGCTTGCCCTAAGATGCTTGATACATCGGACAGCAGCACAGGAAGGAAATTCTGGGAAAGAAACACATCTGGCGAGGCTGAAGCTGCCGTAAAACTTGATGGAGCTTTCCGAACTCTCCAAACTCTGGAAGCGCTTTGCTGCCAGCTTCGCAAAGAGCAGGCTGCAACTCTAGATGCCTCTCTTGCTCGGACACATCCACACACCACCTTGGCCAACTGGGAAGTACACGTAGGGTAGGGACGGAAGGTGAAGACGCCGCACGTACCTGGTACTCAGGAATGGACCTTACCGCCTCCACGACAGCCAGGGACATCAGATGCTGGACAAACGGGATCCTCTGTCCCAGCTGGGACCTCAGCGGGATGGAGACGAGCAGGGTGAACACGGCGCATCCCACGGGGCTCAGCCAAGCATTCGATCCCCGCCCTGGAAACACAGGCCCCGTCAGGAATGCGGACACATCGCCATGCTAACAGAGTCGGTTGCACACAGTGTCGAAAATGTGCCCAGGACTCAGAGCCACGTGTGGAATCCACCCAGACTGATTAGGATGCTTGGAGATTCTGGGGTTAACTCAAGAACAGAGAAGCTTTTTAAAATCTGATGCTGGGATGCTCAACAAGTTTCTGATAAGTGGCAGAATGTTCAGCCTCAGTGAGCGTATCATTTAGGCTTTGATGATTCGAAGTCTTACAGTGTCTGAACATGACTGTCAGCTTAATTCTCACCATATGGTCATGCAGGCAGAAACAAAGACAGTGAGGAGAAGGAGCCGGGTCTGCCTTGTCAGGAGAAGTCCTGGGAGCCACATTTTAGAAGCGACCCGTATCGTGGAGATAGTTTCACAACCCTGTGAATATGTTAAAAACCCCAGAATTGTACACTTTAAATGCAGGAACTGTCTGGTACGTGAATTAAATCTCATTGCTGTAAGGGTGGGCAAAAGGAAGCTGAATTTAAAAGGTAATCCCTGGCATTAACTCTCTGAGCTATTTTTTTCCTAAAATAGAAGTCAAGAAAATAAAGTGATCAAAATGAGAAGTATAATCAAAGTTCTTCTATGTCCCCCTTCCTTTTTTTTTTTTTAACCACCATATTGAGCCCCCCGGCTTTGGATAAAATGAATTTTCTCTTTGAGTTACGTTCAAAAGACATATTCAAAGGAAAGAAGTGGAAAACAGTGGATGTCTTATTTCGTTGCTCCTTTTGAGAAAGGCGTAAGGAGCCTCTGAGAGTTATAAGCACGTTTGGGTTGGCCTGGTGCTGGCTGGAGCGGGGGCGGGGGCAAGTGCCTCCTGCATGGTCACTGAGCGCGGAATCTGCTTGCGGTTGGACCCCAAGTGGATTCTGGGAGGATGCGGGCTCTCGTTTCCGAGGGTCAGCAGGTGGCGGAAGCTCTGTGGTCACTCTGTGAATAGGCATTGATCATTGATCTAAGCACCCGCTGCATGGAATTTCCAGTACAGCCCAGGCAGGGGATAGCAGACGGAAAGCCTCCTCCGTGTGACACTTAACAGGGACACAGAAGGCACCTCCCAGAGAACCTTCAGGCAAACAAATGTCTTTAGAACACAGTCATGATTCATGCACTGCAATGCCTAGAATGTGTCAGAAAGAGGAATTTACAAGATGTAGATGACTAAATGTTAAAACCATCCCCAGGGGTGCTTGGGTGTCTCAGTCAGTTGAGTGTCCGACTTCGGCTCAGGTCATGATCTGGCAGTCTGTGAGTTCGAGCCCCACGTCGGGCTCTGTGCTGACAGCTCAGAGCCTGGAGCTGCTTTGGATTCTGTGTCTCCCTCTCTCTCTGCCCCTCCCCCGTTCACGTTCTGTCTCTCTGTCTCTCTCAAAAATAAACATAAAAAAAAAAATTCCCAGTAGAACATCCAGTGATTAATAACCATCTCAGTGAGAGAATGCTTTTAATTGTACTAAAAGTCTCAATCTTCTGATCAATTTCCCGTCCTCTTCCTCCATTTTAGGGGCTGTGAAAACAAGCACTTCTAATGCGCGTCTTCTCTACGATCAGCACACACGATCAGCTGGCGATCTGGCCACAAGAGTCACAGATTTTAGAAAACAAAACAGCAGAAACGATAACAAAAGACGACTGACCTTTGCCCTGTGTTTGGCGGACTGCGATGGCTATTAACCCCATTTCCTGCGGGATCTCAAACATCAACCTGCAAACGGTGGGAAAGACTGGTCAGCCAGAACGGGGACAGGACAGGGCAGCCCGCAGCTCACACACACGGAGGGACCCTGTTTGCACTCATCTGTGAGCATGTGGGGGAAAGAAAGGGCCATTTTCCAGGTTTCGAGGGACACCGACCCCACTCCCAGCCTCTGTCCCAGGAACGAAGGAGAGGAGCCCAAGAAAACACCATTTAATCGAACAAGATTGGGGTGGGGGAAGCCTGTGTACCCGCCTGAGCTCTGAGTTTATTTAAGACATTGCTCGATTCTATTTCTTTGGAATATCCTATCAGGTTCTTTCTTCCCCGCTCTGAGGTGGTGTCCCTTCTTTAGTGACAACTAGCAGCTCCCGACATTTGTTTCTACTTACAGTGCGTTTCTGTCCGCACACTCGAACATAATCATAACAGAAGTTTCTGATTATTCAGAAAACCAATATGGTGGCAATAAAGCCGTTTAAAAGATACACTATCCCCTGAGAACTAATTATGTTTTAACTATAGTAAATAAATCTACACCTTCTGAGAACTCTGGAGAACCTTGGATCATTTTAGGCTTGAGTTCTGCTTTTAAAATGGTTTCATTTAAAAGAATACAAACTTCCCTTTGGGGATAGGTAGAAAAGTGCCTTATATCTCCACCAAATGAGTCAATACTAACCTTTTTTTTTTTTCCAGAAAAGGAAGCGGGGGGGGGGATCCCTCACACTGAGAATTTCCTCCCAGCCACTTTCTATATATTTTAACTCCGCGTGAGGAAGGCTCTCCTCTGCCTTCCCAGGAGTCGCTGACCAGGTACTCGGTGAGCATGGCTCATGGTGGGATTGATTAAACCGAGCAAAACTCAAGTCTGCCCACTGTGGGTGAAGCTGCTGGCTCTCTGAAGGACTTCCAGGAGAGGAAGAGGGGAGAGGAGGGACAATGGAGAGATGGTATTCCTATGAAGTTTCCAATGATCGTTCCCAAGGTTCCATAGTACCCCGCACCCCAGGGGCTCAGGAGAAAGGGCCCTGAAGAAAGACTATGATCTGGTGGGTCTTCATCTGCTCTCGGGGATCAGGGAAGGGGGTGGGACTGCACAGCTGGTGAGAGAAGAAACACACTTAAAAGCAGAGAGAAAACAGCACAGTCTCTCTCGGTGCGCCGTGGCTGGCAGACTCTGGCACTGATGCTCGCAGAACCATGGTGTCAAGGGGCCCGGAAGACCCCTTCCCTTGCTAAGAGCCTGGCCACGCTGGGCGGGGGCCAGCGGCCGGACAGGCACAGGGCACTCCCAGCGAGCAGGCTGCCCGCCGTAGGCGTGCCAAGCCTACCTTCCATCTTCCACGAAGCACAGCTCGACAAGTATTTCTCTTGGACACCGTGAATAACCCATTGAGACCGACTGTTCCTATGCACTGTCGGGCTCCAAGAATAAAGCGTCCTTTTCTTGGGTCGGACCAGCGGAAAACAGAGAAGGGATCTCTGTCCACGCAGGGAGGTAACACTGTCTTCTCGGAGCCTCGTGCTTTCCAGAAAGTTCCGGCAACCCCTCACCTGGGCTCCTAAGGCGGCGGGGTTCTGGTGGCGGTGGGGGGCAGCTAACGACCTTTTCTAGGGGAGCAGGCGGGGGGGGGGTGGTGATTTAGCACGTTGTGAGCAGACAGCAAAAGCTCTCTCAATGGCAGGCCATCTAGGATGTTCTTTAAATAAACATGTAGACAGAACACAGTCCTGTGGATGGCCAGTGCTGGTGATGGTGGAGTTGGGCGAGGGGGTGGGGGAGGTTTAGAAACCAAACACAGACTTCTAGAACAAAGAGAAATGATTAAGGGAACATATGCACTCAACTGCTGGAGGCTTGGCAGCAGTTAACAGGGCATATTGATGAGAAGACGGAGTTTGTGCAGCTGAAGGCCAAGAGGAAATTCTGCAAGAGGGAGACAACGAGGGAAGGGGGTAATGCTCGGTCTGAGACAACCAGAGGCCGCCAGATTTATTTGTGCTATCTGAGATAACTCTGGGGGCCAAACCACACAGCTCACGGTCAACAAAGAGGCATTTATGAACTTCGCAAATTTTACATTTCTGGAAACGAAGCCGCTAGGGTTTGCTCTAGCAGAAAGGAGGCACCATAAGTGCATTTCCATCCCGAATCGATGATGTTCTCACAAAAGGCAAAAGAAAAAGACAAAAAAGGAGGGGATCACATAATGATTACACCCCCCGCTGCTGTGTAATTTCTGTCCTCGTCTGCGGAGGCTGTGGAATAAAAGGTTTCTGTGAGTGGGAGCAGAATGTACTCACTTGGGTACCAACGGGGCACACGAGAAAAGCGCTCCGTTTTTCTACTCTTCTCTTGAGTCTCAAACATCCAGACCCCAAAGGGTCACTTTACAAATGTGACCACTTTGGTTGCTAAGGACATCACAGCACCTAGGGGGTGCTCAGCCAACAGAAACGTCCGGAATTTCACAAGGTGGCTGGAATAAAGCTTCAATAATTAGGAATGATCTAGAAGACTGGCTGGTATGAACCTGCGTGAAAACTCTGGATGAATAAAAATATAAACTCAGACCCATTCAGTCCATTTTGGGGATTCAAACCTAAGGAAACGGTCCACATTCACCACAGAGCTATAAAAGTAAAACTGGGAATAACCTATGTGTTCAAGAGGGAATCGTTGGGTACACCGTGGTTACATGAGGTCCGTGGAATAATTCCCATTAAATATGACGGTTATGAAGAGTATGTGGCAACATGGAGGAAATGCTTGCAACACACTGCTAAATAAAAAAGCAGTATGCAGGGGCGCCTGGGTGGCTCAGTCGGTTACGCGTCCAACTTCAACTCAGGTCATGATCTCACCGCTTGTTGGGTTCAAGCCCCACGTCGGGCTCTGTGCTGACAGCTCAGAGCCTGGAGCTGCTTTGAATTCTGTGTCTCATTCTCTCTCTGCCCCTTCCCCACTTATTCTCTCTCTCTCTGTGTCTCTATCAAAAATAAATAAATGTTAAAAAATTATGTTGAAAAATTCTGGCCCAAAAAAAGTGTGTTTAGATATATTTGTAATCAATTTTTATAAGTATTTCTAACAAAAGAACTAAAAGCTCTGCTTTAAAATTAAATAAGACAATCAGAGTTTTCTACAGCACCTGTTTTCTGAGCAAAAGCTTATTTGATAGTACTAAGGAGCAGAAATTCTTAAAACCAGTCTGATTGTAATCAATCAGGGCCTTTAAAACTTTACACTTTCTGACCTGGTAGCTGTTCTTCCAGGAATAAGTCCTCATAAGATTTCAGACAGAGAAACAAAATAATTCTGGGACATTTATCATCACAGCCTTACAATGTGAAAAATCAGAAACAACACAAACAGTCTATGAATAAAGGAATGAAAGAAATCATAGCATCCTCACATGAAAACCTATCACGTAGCCATCTGTGAGAGTGACAAATGTCCACTGGACTCCTTCGGGTGATTAAATTAGGAGGCAAAACCCTATATACAGCATGATTCTAAAAGATGTTTTAAAGTACCCTTTTTAGGGGCGCCTGGGTGGCTTAGTCGGTTAAGCGTCCGACTTTCGCTTGGGTCACGATCTCGCGGTTCATGGGTTCGAGCCCCACGTCGGGCTCTGTGCTGACTGCCAGCTCAGAGCCTGGAGCCTGTTTCACTCTGTGACTCCCTCTCTCTCTGACCCTCCCCTGCTCATGCTGTCTCTCTCTCTCTCTCTCTCCTAGAAATAAAATAAATAAATAAATAAAGTACCCTTTTAAACCTGTTAGGAAATATACCACAATGCTAGTTCTGCTTATTTTGAGGCGTGCATATATTTAAAAAAATAATACAGAAAGTGCAGAGTAGAAAATAAGTGCATATTCTCATTACAAGTGCATATTCTCCTAGACTTTCTCCCCTTTTAAACAAATTCCCATAGATATATTTTACAAAATAGGTTTCTGATGATTGGAGAACTTCCTGACTGTGGAGCTATTAAAATGATGCTGTGGATGTACAGTTATGGACATCTTATCGACATCTTATTTGATTGCTATCTTATTGATATTTGAATATCTTACAGACGATAAAAGGAATGCTTGATAACAGCACATTTGATCCCCTTCTTTGTAAGCTGTCCCTTCCTGGGTGCATTTAGAGGAAAATAAGGGACACGCATCAACAGCGGCTGTTATCTCCAGAAGGTGGGGGTAGAACCGATACATGATTTTAATCTCTCCTTTATGCCGTCCCATGCGGCTTCTGGGTAGTTAAGACTTCACGTGGTTTTGACTTTCTTCTTTGTACTTTTCTGAATTTTCCAGTGTTTCTGCACTGGGAGGGCATTCATTTTATAATCATTTTATAATCAGGAACAATGCTATTTAAAAAAAGATTTACTGAAACTCAACTTCGCTTTACGTAGCTTAAGCACGCATCCGCCAGCTCACGAGCTGGGGACCCATCTCTTCCTTTCCAGGGATGGGAGACTGAGCCGCACCAGGCTCGCTGTAAGGATCCCCCATAACTCAACCAATGCACGTATGGCTGTGTTGGTCCCTTGCTGTCTGTCGTCCCCTGGGGAGCCTGTGCCCCATGCAATGAGCAGGCTGAGTCTGCCTCCTGTCCCGGCACGGACTGCCTATGGGCTCGGGAAAGGGTGTGCCCGCGGCCGTCCGCATCTTCAAGGCACAGAGGACCTCCCTCAACTCTGGTTCCTTGTTCTTTTCTCTGATGTCTTCTCCCCCTGCCTTACTTGGCTTTCAGAAAGACACATTCTCTGGGGCGCCTGGGTGGCTCAGTCAGTTAAGCGTCCGACTTCAGCTCAGGTCATGATCTCACGGTTTGTGGGTTCGAGCCCCGCGTCGGGCTCTGTGCTGACAGCTCAGAGCCTGGAGTCGTTTCAGATTCTGTGTCTCCCTCTCTCTCTGACCCTCCCCTGCTCATGCGGTCTCTCTCTCTCTCAGAAATAAATTTTTAAAAAGGAAAAGAAAAGAAAGACACATTC